CGAAGGTAACGGGAGTTGCCGAAAATTTCGCAAATAAAAAATATTTCTATGTCTCCCACAAGTCAAAGTGTCGTAGCTATTTATTGTGTCTGCGTCTACTTAGCATAGCTCATCAACGGAAGGTTCTTTTATTTCAGTGGATGAAAAAAATCTTGTCCCTGGCGGGATTCGAACTCGCAACCTCTCGCTGTCAAGGCGAGTATCATATCCCAAATGTTTTCATACAACTGAAATAAAGGAATATTTCGTAAATAAGCTATGCTTGGTATACAACATGTTCCTATTTGAACACTGCTATTTATCCATTTGTTATAGTTATTGTGTAATCTACCACTACAATTCAAATTGTTTGTCTTTTCTCTCTTTCTAGGTTCTTTAGTAATGAATCCTGTATGTGAAGCGTTGTTAGAGCGTGTAGGTCTAGAGAAAACATTTGTCTGCCTGTCTGTTGTTGTGTTAGTAATCGGAATACCATGCTCCCTTGTGTTCGCACAGCCCCCAGATGATTACGATGAATTAGATGAAAAAGGAGAGAACGACATAGGTGTACAGACACCGAAAACACAAATACCTAACTCTGACAGTGGTAGCGAGTGGCTGAAAGAGATGATAAGCAAAGAGCGCGAGCCTTATTCTATATGTTGCGTGGGATGCCAACCTGAATTGTGGACCGATAGTATTTTCTTACTTTATCTGCTCGGACAATTTGTGAAAGGTCTAGGCTACGTTTTTCCATTTATTCATTTGGTAAGTTTTATTGTTATTATTATTTTTTATGACCGGAAAATTGACCCACAGATACTGCCAAGAGGGCATTATTATGGTCATGATGAACATGACACAAATGGAAAGCATCACGCAAATGCATCGCTGCCCAACACAATTTAAAGACATCCTTCTCGATTAAAGCATAAGAATCATCTCGTATTAGCAGACATATATCATTAAGATACACAAATCATGGAGTCCTACGTGTGCCGACGATGCATAGGCTACTCAAAAATTGTGGGTAGTTGCTAAATACAACGGGTTCAGCCGAGGGGGCGTGGCTCCGTATGTTGACGTCATGCATAACTTCAGCTATGTTCTCCTCGACAAAGTAATCACACAGCATAGCAAAATGCAGTCCGTATAACTAATTCCTTCATGGTACAACCAATGTAAGAAAAAATAAGTTGTCCCTGTGTGTTTTTCTTTCCAAAAATTAGGATCCCTGGAATATTATCAATTCATGGGGCCTACATAGAGCGAAATAATACATAGGCCTAGTTAGTCTTATTTAGCGGTAGGGATTAGGCTTTAATCACAGAAAGAAATGAAAACAATTCAATTGCCTGAGTCCTACTATGGTACAATATTCGTCGGGGAGAAAAAATGTAATGTATTTTCTACATACAAGTAGACACCAAAATCCACTAAGTAAGCCTTTTATTTTTTAAACCAAATTTTTTGCCCCGTGAAACCATTTCGACGGATATTGAGGGACGCCCGACTACGCCCAATTTTTTTCGTCGGGGACCTCGCACCCCGGGCAAATCCAGGCGCCACCCCTGTACTACTTAGTCTATGGATTTTCCAATCTTAATCCTATGAACAAATTATCTTACTTGAAGAGAAAATGGGCCTTACAAAATTAAAATTACAACTTTTACAACATGACTGCTGAAGTTAAGATTTGTTTTAGTGTTCACTGCTTTGAAACAATATTGCCGGCTTTATATGTAATTTAAGTACCGTAAATATATTAACTTTCCAATGTCGTGTATATTTGTATAATGTTATGTATTATGCGCCTATTCAGTGCAGATTCTTCAGTAGTCTAGGCGAGGGTCTTACAAAGATTCCGCATAGGCCTAAACTTCACGTAAATGAGGAATAGGCCTAGACGGACTGCTGTGGATTGCTGGACGCACAATCGAGAACTATGCCCCAGACTACCTGAAAAGACCTCCTGGTCCGACCTAGCCCAGGCTTAGCTAGAGGAAGCCTAGACCTTCGAACGTCCATACTACTTTAGGTCAATGTTTGAATCGGACTCGATCGTCCCTCACCCGCCCGTAGCAGCAGCGCAAGAGAAAAACTAAGCAGCCTTAGCCTGCTCGCCTTGCTAAATTCACATTGGTCGCACAGTGTGTCGTCACCATATATAAGCCACGCCCCCTCGGCTGAACCCGTTGTCCAGTATTTAGCAACTACCAAAATGGTGAGGAAGCGTCATTTGAAGTAAACTGTTGTAATGGTAATGAGGGCGCTTCATTAAAAAAGATGATTGTTCCGAATGAAACATGTTATCGAATGACGTACACACAACTTGATAGCCTGCGGACAACAATACAAATTGCTTATCAATTTATGAATAATTTCTCAAAAAGTCTGTCCTTCTTAACTCATACATCTTTCATAAACTGACATCATGCTGAGTTTAGAATACATTATTTCATTTTTATAGTTTTTTGCCTCTTAAATCATAACTATACGATGACAGAAGATCAATAGCGGAAATTGTGGTTTGAGGGGGTGGTGGTTGTGATGGGGTGGTTGTGGATGTACCTTTTGAATGCCAATTTGTGGTGTTCAATTATATTTCTTTCAACGAGTCTGGTAGTAGTGCGCTTTTAATGCACTCTTAACCTCTTAACTAGACAAAATATGGAAATGCCTGTCATTAAAATATACACATAATCGATATACCTACACACTGTCTCTTATACACATCTAGATGTGTATAAGCCTTCGGTAGCTCATAGTCAATCAATCAATCAGTCAATTCCTTTTATTTCAGACAATGTTTATATCAAATTATAAAACAACTTTTAAATATAAAACAATTAGCATTCATCATCCACTACGCAAATATCTGTAAAGCAGACTGTTTTCAAGCTCAATAATACAGCATTTAATGTTTTCTTTTAAACATAACGACGAACACTTTATGTTTTAATGACCAAAATTGAAAAAAAAAACCCCAAGACAAAATATCAACAATTTGTATAGTGATTTGGTCGAGTACCTTTAACCTTAATTATCACAATTCATCAAAATTTCACTCAAATTATTTACGTGAACATCATTGAAGGACGGAGCTTCGCATTAATCATATTTATTTGCAATTTTATGACGTTTATTAACATTCATCTTCATGCAGACCAACTTGATTGATAATTATAATAAGAGCCTGTATGTAATATAGATGTTAATCTTGAAATAGGCCTATATTGATACATTAAAATGCGTGTATGATTTCCTCTAGCCTATAATGATATCAACAATGGTGGATGATGATGATGATGATGATGATGATGATGATAATAATAATAATAATAATAACAATAATAATAATAATAATAATAATAATAATAATAATAATAATAATAATAATAATAATAATAATAAATAATTATAATATAAAATAATAAATTAATAATATTAATAATAAAATCAATAATATTAATTATTTTACTTAAATTTTATTATCATACAAGACAATCATAAAGATGCGGGATGCTGGTGGTGATGTTGTTGATGACGATGACGGCGACATTGAATACGGTAATGGTGATGATAAAAATTCCGATATGATGATGATGATGATGATGATAATGATGATGTTTCTTGATTATAAGTTTGTTTGATTCTTATGCAGGTAACTTTCATGAGATCAATCGGAATTCCTGGAAAACAAGGATCAATTGTAATGACAATAAAAGGATTATCGGATATGATAGGTCGACTTTTAGCAGGCATTCTAGGTGAAAGTCTGCCTTTTCAAATCATACATATGTACGTTATTTGCACGGGCATCATGGCGATTACAACCTACTTAGTTACGTTTGCTCACAACTTCACACACATGGTATTCTATGCTATATGTAAGTATAAGTACAACACACAGTTGCTAGTTTTTAAGTAAACCCCTAAAGTATCGTGAGCAACAGAAATACTCTGTTTCCTTATAATTAATCGAAAAATTGTAAAAGTCACTATAAAAAACCCCAAAATAATTAAATAACCACAAAGCTAAGTAAGTTAATGCACTGTGTCCTCATTGGTTAATGTTCTTGTTTATTTTAGCAACAAGTGCAATTGGTTTAGCATCAATGGAGAATATCGATTGGCATTTTCTAACCACGTGTATGAAATGCTGAATACTGAATCATGATTTATTCAATCTGTCGACTATAATTTCCATGTCGGGTTCTATCAAAATGAATTCTAAAAATAGTAATAATCATAAGTTTAAAAAATACGATATGCTCATCTTCACACAATCAACATTCATTAAAATATCTGCCACAAACAATCTTCTGGTCTTTAATTGAATTTGTAATGTAATTTTATCCTAAGTTCATAGCAATTCTGCATCTCATAATAGAGAATGTATTGAATAACGCCCTCAAGGTTCAAGGTTGTATGCCTAATTATCCTATAAATTATAATAATTTCGTCGTGTGTTGTTGACTGTAGTAAAGAAAACAATTAAATTAATTATATTCAGCTTCTCCATTGCTTTGATATATAACTAGTTTCTTTTAATACAATAGATAAATACACAGCATTTGTTAATGATGATCAAGACATTAAGAAATATTACAACTTAGGCCTATTCAACATTTCACTTATATTTTATCAATGTGTTGCTTAATTGTATCATACCATAATGCTAAAACCAATACGTTTTATATAATATAAAATAAGATACTGCTTTGTCCTTTAAAACCGCTGTAGATACACAGAAATATACGAAAAGTTACAACCTAAGAAATATTTCTTTAAGAAACAGGATGATGTTTTTTTTAGAAATCAATGAGTTAAAATTATATACAAACAAGTAAAATATTGTAGTGGTGCATCAGATAATTAAAATATCAAAAAGAAAAGAAGACGAAGTAAGAAAAGGTTTATGCATAAAAAAAGTGGATTGGTAACAATGTCAACAATTTGTGAATCCAGATAAGGTTTCAAAGACTGACTTAAATGTTTATCTTTTAGTTATAGGCTTCTTCAATGGTGTTTTCAACTCGTTGCTTTTCCCTACAACAACGCAATTGTTTCGTAAAGACCTCGCTAGGCAAGCATGGGCATTCTGCCAGGTACCACCGGGTATAGCCATCATTATAGGACCCGGAGTCGCTGGTGAGTTCAATAATTGTTTTACTTAATACAACATGATTATAAGATACATAGTAATTTATTGAAACACCTTTATATTGGTGGCACACGCTCATTCACATACAAAAACAAGATACACAAGCATAAAGATCACCATAAAATCACAGAGTAAATTTCAAAAAAATGTTTGATACACTGCAATAAGGCAAAAACATCAAGTTTGCAATGTTTAAGGTTTTCAATTCCTTTCGTATTTGCCATGATCGGTAAGGTAAAATTTACAAAACCTGTCAAAACTCCTTGAAGCATTAATACTGTGAATCCCCTACCCCACCCAAGAACATATATAAGTTTGTCTTCATAATTACTATTGTAGAATATCCCCCATACATCATGTTCATATTATATGTAATTCACTCATTCTGAAGTAGGCCTATGTTTAATTGATCTTCCCTTATAGAATGTACGGTAATGAATTAAAGACAAATAAATAATGGATAAAATCTTCAATGCTTCCGGAGTTACATGGTATAAAGACCATCATTATTTTCGGTGATATATTTCAATAATTATAACTTACTAGCAAAAACAAACACAAATATGCTAGGCCTATCAGACAGTAAGCATACTGGCAACAATACAGACAAATTGTGTGTATTCTGTTTTAAGTAGCCTCTGTATAGATATAAAACTGATTCATTAACAAATACTCTACGCTTCATATTGGTAATCAAAAGGCCTGAAGTGTACTCTCATGGGTCTATTTCTCAAAGGCTAGTAAAATGTTCAATGTTGATCTGCAAATTATAAATAAATGTTTTATGCCTCGTCATTACAGTTTACCACTTTCATTTGCACAAAATGTAGTTAACAGAAACATCCCTTAGTCTGTACATGTAGAAAATATATTTAAAAATTGGCTCCATGGTCTGTAAAATTAGAAACAATCAAAATGGTACATTTATGCCAGGTATACGTACAGTTCGGTACTCAATAACGAGTTGTAGAATTCATTAAACCATGTGAACAGAATTCTCAAATGTTTATAATTATAGGCCCTACCGTATTGGTATTAACATACCAGGAAGATTTTCAACTATTAGACAGCACACAATGTGCCCACTTAAACATAAATTCAAATATTCAGCGTTTTTTAACTCCCTGTAAAATTTGTATTCAGTACAATAATAAAAACCATACAGCACTTAATGTGTATGTCTTCGAGTGGATTTGTTCCAATAACGAAACAATCTTTCACGTACAAATATAATTGTAGATAATTTCACAAACTTGGAGAGAAACATGAGAGCGCATATCAATAATTGTTCATGATTCGTGTATTTTATTGCACAGAGTATCCACCTATTGTGCAATGTGTAGGCTTGTTAATTACTCGTTAAATCTGTCAGCTATTACTTGTTTAAAATTTTAATTTGAATAATAGTTTGAAATTTGACGTCGGTATTAACATAATATAGGTATATTTAGAAGATTTATTACTTTATAATAAGGTAGGGTTGGAGACAATGCATCTGCATTATATAGATGCATTTTGAATTAGTGGTTATCAATTATGCAAACATAGCCTGTACTCGGATTTATATATTCAGGGGGGACAATTTCTTTATGGAAATACATAACGATTATGCAAAGCTTCATTTTTTAATGGTGCATAAGACTGTAAATTGATTTACAGCCATTTTTATTCTATTCAACATTGGTTACATATCGTTAACCCTTCATATTTTGAACAAATTTATGGATATGTTTTCATTCATACACAAAAAAAAGTATGTAAGAAAAAGACAAAAAAGCTACATAGGCAATAATACAAACGCTTGCCAAAATATGTACCGTAACAACACTCGACGATTGAGTGGAGCTCTTCTTAAAGTTACAGATATAACTCGAACACATCTGCATAGGCCAACATATATTACATATAATGTACATGTACATTTAAATACAATATATATATAGGCCTATATATATATACTGTATATATATATATATACTTTTAGGCTTTTATGATACTATATACATAATATATTGCATGTATATGTATCGTGTATAATTATATAGGCCTATATAATTATAGGAAAATATATATTATATATATATATGTTATAGGCCAATGTATATATATATATATGTTATAAGCCAATATATATATATATTTATACATATATAGCCTATATAATTATATATTGCTACGACAAGGCGAAATATTCGTTTCCAATATATATATATATATATATATATATATATATGTATATGAGAAACGAATATTTCGTCTAGTCGTTTGTTACAAGTGAGTGAAAATGCTTTGGCGATTACACAGTTATTCTATATAATAACATTGGTAACTAAAAACATATTAACTATGCCTACTTGTGTAATAATAGTATTGCACATAATTAAGGGCCAGTTGTATGCTATTCGTAATTATAATAAATTATACTAACAGCTTAATCACAATTTAAAATTGTCTAATTACAGTAATAATACTGTACTTTATATGTTTGTATATTTCAGGTTTCATATACGACGCAACTAAAAATTATACGGTGGATTTTTATGTAAATACAGGCATTTTTGAATTAGCAATGTTAATATTTGCAAGTATACCAGCCATTAGACTGGGCAGATGGCTATGGGAAAATAAACACCAAACAGAAGAATCCAAGAGACGTCCAACGGTGATAGAGATGACGCGTTTGTTTGTCAAGGAGTATCACGGGAAACGCAAACACCAACAAAAGGGTTACAGTTCGTTTGAATAATTTCCTAAAATAGGTCTAAACTAATTAAATGTAAAACCAGAGTAATCATTGTTTGAATTGACCCTCCTCTACCTGTCTGTCATGAGCTAAAAATTCGATTCCATGAATTGCTTAATTTATATAAATACCCCCAATAGGGAGATTTCGCAACCGTACGAAAACGATAACGAATACGTCATTATCATTATCGTCATTCGTGCCTAAATTGCAAATATGCTGTACGCGCTGAGTATGATCCTTTATTCATGCAAAAGGTATGAATCGCCTGACAGATAGACTCCTGTATGGGAAGGGTTGTCTAAAAATTCTATGACGTAACCGTATTCGTTATCGTTTTTGTAAACTTGCGAAAACTCCCTAATTAATTTTTTATCGAGAATTTAATTTTTCTCGTCAATTACCGAAATTGACAAAAAATGTATTACCTCTATTCGTTTGCATGGGCTTGGTAATAAGTATAAGGATTTTGTAGAAAAGTCTGTAACTCAGAATCAACTTTCTTTCCTTTTTTTTGTGGAAATTAATAACTTATTTGATTATTTTTAAATGAACAATTTAAAATCTTAATTGAATTTTTGTGGTTTTAACGATGTTTTTGGCAGACAGTGTACCTTTATTGTTGGTGTATACTTTTCAGGCAATAATATGGTATTTATTTGTTTCAATCTTAGTAATAGTCCTAATTTAAAATGGATGTGATATTTTCTATATAAGTTTAGATTGTTGTGAAAAAGATATAAATGTGCAAATATTAATAGTGCTTTAAGAAGCAATAACAGTTTTACTGTAGTATGTACTTAGAATAAAACAAAAGAATGATTGTCGTCCCTAATGTTTACAATAGCACTTGTCTTATTGTGTAGCGATACTTCAAGCTTGGGCTCAAGTAAAATGAATGTCATCTTAACAAAGTGAATCCCAATAGAATATAGGCTAGTAAGAATTATAGTATAATAAAATTTGCGACATCATTACTTGTTACATTTCCAAACAAACAACGAATACATTGTAAATTGCAAAGGATGACAATGGATATTGTAATAATAATAAAATGCATTTATCAACAATGCATTAATTACAAACATCAGTTAATGAAATAAGGAATTAATAAAAATATTTATTAAAAAAACAAATGTGGTTGTTGTTGACAATTATTTAACATTGAGTGTACTATGCGGCTAAATGTGCTACTGTAATAATCGTGCGAAAAAGGTGAGGAATAATCCTCAAAGAAAAGTTACATATCTGTTGATAAAAGGCTTTTATCTCTCAAATCAAGGACACGAGTTTGTGGAACTGCGTCAACTAAAATATGTCCTAGAAATTTCGTTTCAAATACAAATTGAATCAAAGCATAAAATAAATTAATGGCATCGTGTGAGTACAATTTAAAGTGCTGTTGAATGTTTGTGAGTATTCGTTAATGTAGCCGGGGGATATGTTTACGAGCCTATACGGCCGCCGTGGCCTCATAAACACAGAATATACAAGACGAGCAGAACATTCAACAGGGCCTACGCGGTTAGTTCTTCCCATGAGCAAAAATGTAGGGCACAATGATAGATAATAGCGATGCTCGGCTCGTTTCTGCCATTTAGTGTTATCTATTTGAACGTTTTAAAGTATCGTGTAGTTGACCAAATTCGATCTTGTTAAACGCACAAGAATTCAACAGAAGACCATCAAGTTCCATCAACATTAAAACTACCTGAAAAAAAAGGATATTCGTATTCAAAAATAATAGCCTAAGTGAACCATAAAAAATTCATTAGTCTACCATTACAAAGTAATAACAACATGTAGGCCTATGTTAAGAATGATGTTTTTGCTCTAACCGACCTCTTATCATACTCACTAATCAGTACGGTACGTTACCAGTTACTTTAAAAAAAAATCTCACAAGTGATCCGGATGAGAATCGATCACACGACCTATAGACAACTAGACAGAGGTGATAACCACTAGACCACCGACCTTGCGCTTAGTGGCTAGTGTTCAATCCAATAACCCCAAAACATCATTCCTATTAAATTTCCTGACGGAAAACATCCTCAAAATAACATGTATATTCGTACTAGTGTACTTTAAACTATTAAGAAAAAAACTTTATCATGCGATACACGTACAGTGTCATTCCTTGAGGGATGTAACTTTCCTTGTCATTGACATGGGTAACATCTTGTAACGGTACATGGCTAAATTACTCAGTTATCGTTGCTATAAAACTCAGAATTTTTGTTGATAACATATGTTGAAATACAACTGTCAGTAGTAATCATTCGTGGACTGTGTGATATTCTCCTCTGGGCTTTATTACGTTGTTACAATCGTTTTACATTTATTAATGTCGAAGATATATTTACTATGGTTTGTGGAAAGTGGTCATATTTACACAAACGATATAAATAATGTAATGCATACACCATGTTTTTTTTTCAAAATACGTTTAGTAGGCAATATAAAATATACAATGTTACATACATGCATATATACAACTTAATTTTTTATATTAAAGATATTCCACTTATTATATATAACGTAATAATATTAATTATAAAATACGGTATTAAAATGCCAAATGAATGAATGTTTAATACATATACATACATAAGCCTAAAAAATCTTTCCATACACAAATATATATAGATGAATTCATACA